AGATGAATAATATGTTTTGAAGGTGTCATGGAGTGAAAGCAAGAGAAGGGCTTGAGCCTGAACTTATGAATAACTTATAGGCTCCCTCCCTTCGTGCAGCCGCTCCGTTTGGGCTTATCTTTCTCACCCGTGGGAGGTGGAATTAAAGGAGCAAAGCTGGGCATCTGTGGGCACAACTCTGGCTTGGCTCAGTGTGTCCCGTGCCCTGGCGGGGCTGGAATGGCTTTGTATGGAAATGCGGGCTGGGGGACGTGTCGAGCTTTCAAAACCACCCCCGCCCCGCACACCTTGTCAAGAAAAACGGGTGTTTTGCACGTAATTATCTGTGATATTTTAATGTAGCGGTGGAAGTTTCCCCCTCAGCTCTTCTGAAAGAGGAGCAGGAGTAATATCAGAGGGAGGGAAGCAGGTGAGCCCTGCAACGCTTAAATTTTGGGAGATTTGGGTTCAGTTCTTGAGCTGGAAATTCCCTTCTTGGCCTCACGTGGTGACTTAGCCCTCCCAAGCCTTATTTTCCCAGCCCTAAAATGAGAAGCAATTTGCTCCTGTCTCAACACCTTCCTCTGCTTTCTGTATTTTGACTTGAAGAGCTCAAGGGAGGGACTGTTTTTACCGGGTGTACACACAGAGTGGAACATAATGGAAGCGGGATCTTATCAAAGGCATGCCAATGCTATTGTAATGCATATAGTAATTATAGGGATGTATATGGAGGGATGATGAAAAAAAATCCAATGAAACATGGCATTTCCCTCTGGAAAAAAAAAAAATGTTAGCAGAATAAAACCACGCCTGGGAGTGTGTCAGTTCCAGCAAAAAAATGTCTATTAAAAATTATGCAGTGCTGTTCAGCAAGGTCACAGTGCTCCTTTTAAAACCAGTTAGAGGTTTCCTTGCAAAGCAGCACGTCACTTTTTTTTCTTTTCTTTTTTTTTTTTTTATTCATCCCCTGCAGACTTTTAGCCAAGGTGCTGTGTTTGGGGCTTTCATGCAGATTTAAGGGCAGAAAAAAAATTAAATTTCGTATCGATCTTGCAGGAATTTCTGCCGAAAGGCGCCTTCTGCAGCTCGATATGCGCCGAGGGATGGCATCCCTGGTTCACACCAGGTATAAATATATATATATATGATTTCCATTGAATAACTTGTTCCCCCCATCCCTATCTCAGGCGTGCAGCCCTGCTATCTGCATGTTGCTATCAGCCCAGCACACAGATATGGACGAGTGTAATGGATATATTAGGCATTTATTGCAGGGCATTCTGTTGAACATCACCTGCTGTTCAACATGAAAAGTTGATGTTCCACAAAGCCACAAGCCGAAGGCTCCTTAAGAGCTGTTCTGGTGCAGCAGGTAAATATCTGTGTGGATTAATAATGCATTGAGCAAATCTGTAGGAAGAGCGTGGGGCCGGCTCAGAGACTGCTTTCCCTGCCTAGGCAAATAGGCAGGGAAGTTGTGTTTTTAAAGCCTAGTGGGTAGGTAATAAACCAAACTGAGCTAATCGACTGCTTGCAGCAGCTCTGAGTACAAGGCTGGCTCGGCACAGGGGGTCAGAGGCAGGGGCGTTGCCAAAGGTGGTGAAAATTGCTCTGTGGCTTCTCGTTGTAGGGGATTTGTGCTGATGGAATAGATTCATGGAATCAGAGAGTCATAGAATCATAGAATCATGGAATCAGCTGGGTTGGAAAAGACCTCTGAGATCATCCAGTCCAACCCTTGATCCAAGCCTGCCGTGGTTCCCAGCCCATGGATGGCACTGATGCCACATCCAGTCTGTCCTTAAACATCTCCAGGGAGCTCTTCCCATCCTAACGAGCTGGGAGGTGGTGGAAGCTCTGGCAGGGTGTAGGCTGCTCCTGGTGGTACCAGGCAGTGGGGGTGGAGAGTTCTGGATCATCCATGGGACCTCCTCGAGGTCTATGGATTGAACCAAACCTTGGGAGAGGAAAGGGAAGGAGGACTGAAAGCCCTCAATGTCAGCTTTACACCAGCTGCTGTTTTGGCAAAATCCCCCCTGGAAACTCATGGATAACAGCAGTGGAGGTGTTGGGGAGCACCCAAGGCTGGTGAAATGCATCTTCATGTTTGGGGACCGTGGGACCCTTTGGCTGGATGGTGGCAGGGATCAAACAGGGCCGTTGGGAACATCCAGCCAGAGCTGCCAATCCCTCCTGGCTGCTGATTTGTGACGAGAAGATTGTTATTGTCAGACCTGTGGATGGGGCTTGAGCAAGAGGGACCTGCCCCTGTGCTTTGTCACCTCCCATCAGGAGAACCACTGGCCTGGATTTGACTCGGGGAGTCTCTCTGGGCAGCAGAGACAGAGAGAGAAACACAGCTGGATTTCCAAGAGTTTGCAGCCAAGTCTTCTTCTGAATTGCAAAGTGAACAGCTCAGATTTTTGGAAGCCTCTGAGGAGGCATAAATACAAAAAGCCAAGATATCTTTTAATTCTTTTTTTCCCCTCTTTGTCATTTTTCTGGCTACGACGTTGCTTGAAGAGGCTGTGAGTCACCTCGAGCAACGAAATGAGACATCCTTATCACTCATGAAAATAATATTTAATGTGCTATTTTTTATTTAGGTTGTGTCAAAGAGGAGTCTTGGTGTTCAGAGCCTCAAATATTCTTTATATTGGACAAAGGGTGGAAATAATTTAAGGGTTTTGGTCTTGAGGACCTTTTCTGTGTAGGCATGGTGGGTGTCACGCTCTTGCTGTTGAGTTGTGGTGTGGACAGATGTGACGGTTTTGGGAATCCTGAGTTGGGGAAAAGTCTATTTCGTTTCTGTTGTTGCGAAATAGAGACGAGAAGTTGGCATGTGCAAAGAGCTGAAGCAAGGGGAGTGTATTCAATCCTAAACTGGGTCCAAGGGGCCCAGATGCTGCCCAGAGCAGGAGGTGGGCTTGGTGTGGGGAATCAGACGAGCGTGGTTACAGCATGGGAAAAAAAAAACCCTTGATCTGGACTAAAAGTAGATTTCTACCACAAACTGAAGAGTTATTCCCTGTTAAATTTACCTTCTGAGCAGTTTCCACGTGGGATTAGGTGCATAAGGGGAAAAGGTTTGTTGGGGTTCTCCCAGGAGGCACCACCCCACAAAAGCAGGTGCACCTCTTCCTTGTGGGACAGGCGGGTGGGACAAGGGGGGCGTGGGTGTTTTTCCCTCCCATCATCGTGCAGGTGGGGAAACTGAGGCACAGCATTGCTGCAGCTACTGCAGGAGGGGCTCACCCCCCTTTCCCAGCTGGGGGAAGGTCATGAGGGGCATTGAACGGATGCTGCAGGGGGGTGAGGATGCTGAAGGAGGGATGTGGATGATGGAGGAGTTTAGGGGGATGAAGCTCTGTGTGTGTGTGTGGGGGGGGGTGGTGGTGGTGCCAGGGAATGGAGAGTTTGGGGGGACATGGAGTTTGGTGGGGTG